TTAGTTCTATTAATACTTAATTAATTGCTTGATATTAAACCAATTTTGACTTTTTTTAAAAAGTAAAACCAAATTCATAAAGAATGAAAGAACTAAAAATTGAAATAAAATTTTTATAAGATAATAAAATGCTGGTATATAAAACAATTATTCAATTTCACAATCATTTTAAAGAGCTATGAGTTACAAGATGTAACTTATCTTTAAAGTTAGAAAGAATTTTTGATTTACAAAGAATATTAAAACCACAAACAGTCAATGACTTGAAGAGTTGATTCACGAGTTGTTGGAAGATAAACTGCTCCCATTCTACACCACACACTCTATAAATGAGTTATATCACAACTAACTATTATTCTAAAACAAACCCTTCCTTCAGGTAAACTTCTTAATTCTGATTGTTGTACTTTTAAATATTGAATTTGTTCATTGAGTAATTCATTGTTAGAAAAACTTTGATTAAGTTGTTGGTCTTCCATGAAGTACTTGTTTCTTATTAATTTTCAGTGAATTTTTATAAAACATTTTTTTGTTTTTTTTAATTTTTGTTTTATTAAAAGATAATTCTATTTATATTTTCTTTCATTGTTTAGCATATTTATTAAATTTGATAGTTTATTTAAATCGAACAATTTAAATATTAGTATGCCTAAAATATTATATTAACATTACTTGCTTTTTAGTGTTAATGGTTTTTTAATTTCTTTTATAATAAATTAGAAATAAAACTGTTATTTATCTTTATCCTTATATAAACTCAACAATAATCTATAAAATTGAATGAAATAATAAAACTCTAATACTATCTTTATACTATTAAATAAATAAAATAATGAAGATATTTATTTAAATAAGATAAGAAAATAAAAAAGGAATAATTCTAATAAGAAAAATTATTTTCTTTTTAACGAGATAATTCTTCATAAAGGATATTCTCATCTTCTTCTCAAATAATTAATAGGAAAAACAAAGAAAGAAATTGTTCAATTATGAATAAATATACAAAAGAAATAATTATTTGATATTTTTATTGAACAATTTATCAGTAAGAAATCGTGTTGTTTTCATATCTTTTCTTTTAGGATGTGGAAGATCAATTGGTGGTAATTCTCCTTTTTCAATCATTTTATCAGCCTCTTCATTCTCTTTAAGAGTTCTACAACTTTTTGAACGTTGATTAATAAGTTGATTATTCGTATTTACTTCAACTACATTTTCAGGTGTTGCCCTAGTACTTTGTTTAATAACCTCTTGTTCTTCTTCAGTTAACGATAAATTGATTAGATTTTGACCAACAGGAGAAACTACATACTTCTTTACTGGAATAGGTGGTCTAACTGAATCATGTAATTCTTCAAAACTTCTCATTAACAACCTACATTGTTTTGGTATAATTCTTGGTGTTTTACCTTCTTTTGTTTTGATATTTTCTAAGTTATATTGTGTTGTCATGAAACACTCCTTGAGTTTGTTCTTGATTCAGCCAAATCTAATTATTTTTTTCATTTTTCACAGTTTTAATTCTATTTTCTTCTTTTTTACCTTTTTATTTCGTTTTTTATAACAAAAAAAATAAAACTATAATTCTATTAAACAGTAATGTCTATTCTCTTTGTAAAGTGAATCCCATCACCTATTGGAGAAGTTGGTAAAAACCAATCATACCACTTAGGACCCATAATTTCGATGAAGTTTTGTTTCATTGAATGAGAATATAATGAACGAGTTTCTTTAGTTGAACCATTTTTTCTTAGTTGACTAAGTTCAATTGATTCTTGACCAGTTGTATTTATCAATACTTGGTATGTGTGAACAATTCCTAATCCACCAATAGAAATAGCCAGTGTAAATTCTAATATACCAAATCCTAAACGTAGTACATTTCTATAATCATCAAAGAATTCTAGTGTTTGATGATTTTGTTGAAGAAGAGAATAAGAGTTATATAATCCATAACAATGCCATAAAAATCCTAATATTAAAATAAATGGGGTATACCATAAGAATTGAATGAAATATTTATGATTTTTAAATCCAACACATTGTCCAATCCATGGACAATGATGGTCTCTTTTTAATATACATTTATCACATGTTTTACAATGATATGATCTTGGTGGTCTATATTCCTGACATTCTCCACAGTATTGAGCTGGATATAACATATCTATTAACTTTTGTTGTTTCATTTGTGATATTCGATATCGTTCTTTTGCATATTCAAGTTGAATTTCAGGGAGATTTGGTAACCACCCATTTGGTGTTGTTCCTGGTGAAGTGAAAACTACTTTATAGTAGGAGATGCACATAAGTGAATAGAAACAAAAACAAAATAAAAAACATGCCATTTTTATTAGAGTGAATGGAAATTGCCATATTTCTAAAACTAATGTTTCTATTCCTAAGAAAAATATAAGAAATACTACTATTGATGGAAACACAATTGATGTTATCTTTGTTGAACGTTTCATTTCAATAACACAATTTATTCTTTCAAGTTCTTTTCTTTTTTTTAAACATAATATGAATAACAAAAAAATTTAACATAAAAAACTCGACAAAAAATTCTCTTCTTTGTTAAAAGAATCTGAAAGAATTAAATTATTATTATTGCTCAAATAAGTAATTATGACACTATTATTTAATAACATAACATCGCCATTATTCCGTGTATTATACCAATATGTAACATTATAATTACTTTTAATATTAAATGGATTTATGATTTATAATTCTGTCTACAGAATCTTTACATATGACTTAGTAATTAATTTGATTAAATTGTTAATTATTATAATCATTCTTATTTTTGAATTGAATCAAAAGTTGTTGAAAAATTTATAAACTAATAAAAGAAAATTTATTAATTCTTTTTTTTTTGAATGAATATTAAGAATACTCTTCATTATCAGTAAAAATAAGACTTAGATATTATTTTTTTATTGTTTTGATGAAAATTTCATTAATATACAAAATATAAAATATCATATTAAAGTGAAATGGCTTTAATTTTTCTGTTATTGTTTATTAAGAAAGAATTATGTAACAAAAATATGAAGAAAAAGTTGAATAAGATTGATTGAAGAATCAATTTCTATTTATAAAGAATTAATTTAAAAATAAAAATCTTCTTTAACAAAAAAAAAAGAATAATTTGTAAAAAAAAAAAAAAGAAAAACACAAAATGACAGAAGAAAAACTATAAAATTGAAATATGAATAATTTAGTGAATTATATTTCAGAAGATCAACTTGTTAAAGAAATAGGACTTGATGAATGTATGAATCGATTAAATTTAAAGAACAACATTTTAATGAGAAAGACAGAATGTTTAGTTTCATTAAATGATTTTGAAAATATATTAGAAAATGTATTAGAAAAAGAGAAAAAGAACATAGTACTAAATGATAAAAAAGTAGAAGGAGTTGAACAAAAGAAGCAAACCGAAAAAGAAATAGATCTTTTGTTTCAAGTTCAACCAATTCCAAGACTACCAAATCCAAGAAGAGTTAAAACAGGAATTCAATTTAAGACGTATTTTATTCATTTTACTGGAGATTTTGTTATACCTAAATATTCATTTTCTTCATCTCCTAATACAAGTATTGAACAATTTATTAAATTAACAATTAATAAAGTAAATAAACAATTAGAAGAAGAGAACCAAAATAATTTATTTTTAAGAGAGACATATGAATCATATTTATTAAGAATTAGTGATGAAAATGGAGTAGCAGATGATGATCTTCCACCACTTGAATATTCATCTAAAATAGGAGAAATGGGAAGTTCACATTTTGTACTTGTAGATAATCCTGATTATTTTGATAAAGTAAAGAAACATCGTAGAGTTTTAAATAATAGTAATAGTGGGATGTCTGCTTTTCTTAATACAAAAAATGCAAAAGTATTTTTTAAAATAAAAAAAATGGAAGGAAGTACAGCAAGATATGGATATAAAGATAATACAACTGTTGAAGAATTTTTAAGTAGTGTTATTGATGAAAGAAATAAAAAATATAATCTTAATGGCACTGAATTTGAATTGTCTAAAGATTTAAATAACTATGAATTTAAAATGGCTGATGAAAATGGTATTCCTGATGATGATTTTGACGTTGTTTTAAATTCTAATATTAGTACTTATGGAGATAGTTTTGTTTTAATTGGAAAAGGAAAATATCAAACTAATTCAGACACTTCTAGTAAACAAACAATTTTTGTTGTTCCTCCTACTAAAGGTGTTTCTAAAGAACGTGAAATTAAAAAAGAACAAAGAACATCTCTTAACAATAAATCTAGTTTGTTTAAAAGAAAAAAAGATGATGAAATTGTTCCTAAACCGCAATTATCTCCAAGACAAAATAAAGGTAAAACTATTTTAACTTCTCCTAGAAAAAAACCTGGTAAAATTTATACTGTTTTTTATCAAACGGTTCAACTTAAAATTGAGTATGATGAAACTGGAACTGTTGGTGGGTTTATTGATGAAGTACTAATTTATGCATTTAGAAATGGAATTAAATTAAATGGTAAAAATGCTAGTGATTTCTCAATTTATATTGCTGAGCCAAATGGAGAATGTGATCGAGATTTTGAAATAAATAAGGAAAGTCAAATCAAAGATATGTGTTCTATGTTCTTTGGTTTATATTCTAAACAATAAAATATTATTCTTATTTTTGTATGTTATTTTTTATAAATTTCTTTTATTTATTTTCTTATAATTTATATTTTATTAATTCCATAATTTTTATTTTTATTTTTATTATTTGGTAATAGAAAGACACTCCATTTATTTGTGCCAATGATGATTTACATTAAACCATCTTTCGTCTGAAAAACTGATGTTAAATATGTCGTAATCTGAGGAATATCTTTTTTGTTATTAATTAACAACAAATATTTGAAGAAAAATAAAACTTAGAAATATAAAACAAATTATTTATTTATGAATGAAATTGAAAGTCAATTAAAAAAAGAAATAGAACATATGAAACTGCTTTTTGACTCTGACTATTTACCATATGAAATGGAGTATATTATTCCATGTTTACAATTTAGGAACCATATTGTTATTATCCTCCTTGCTAATTCAAATGTTGTTTTTGGAGTATATTATAAAACTCTTATATTTTTTAATGAATATGAACAATTAATACCTCCAATAAAGTTTTGCATGAGAGATAATGATTTAAAAATTATTGATTCATCATTACCTTGTACTCCAGTAATGCCATCTAATTATAAAGCAATAAATCCACATAAATTAATTTTAAGAAATGGAGTATATCTATGTGAAGATCTAAATGATTATGGAAATACATGTAATAGTTCTCTTGGAGAAGCTATTCAAGATATAGGAATTGACTTTGAATATTTTCCAGATTTCCAAGTTCATAGATTAATAATTGGTCAATTAATTAAATGAAAGATTTGTTTTTCTTTTTATGTTATTGACATAATATAATATTAAAAAAAGTAATTTATAGAAGAAACAGTTGTTAATCAAATT